CTTCCCTCTGTCTGCTGGTTCTTTTCTCCCCTCTTTGCCTTCATTTGCACTGGTTGAAAATACTTTTACCCCGCATTCCAACTTTTCCCACTCTTTTTGTTTTAGAACTAGATACTCTATTTTATTGGTTAGCCTAGAAATTTTAACACATAAATTTTAACTTAAAGTCTAAAACTACACAATATCTCTACTTCCCCTAGAATATAAGGACCTTACACACAGTAGCTTATTTCTTAGTGTGTAGTAATTTCACTTTTATTCTCCTAAGTGGACACAAGTCCTCTAGCATTTTAAATGGAAGTTTCAGACCACAGGGGTAGCATGGAATCCAGCCCTCAAGTTCTGGCAGGGCAGATATGGGGCAAGGGATTCCTAAGGGGGCGCTGGCTCCCCTCCCCACCTCATCAAAAACCAAAGCTGCACCGGGCCAGGCTCCTCCCGCAGGCTGGGATTTCTCTTTCTTCCTAATTCATCCAAGAGGGTGCTGCTCTTCACAAGTTCCAGATTTACCCAGGGTCCTCCATCTGACCCCTCACCCCATTAGGCACCTGGCTTTGTCTCCTGAACTTTTTATGTGTGGCTTTGGCTTATTTCCTATACATTTTTTTTTTTTTATTCCTCATTTCAGGACACATTTTTATTAATTTTTAGAGAGAGAGAGAAAGAGAGAGAGACATCGATGTGAGAAACATCCATTGGCTACCTCCTGTACATGCCTGAGTGGGGATTGAATCCACAACCTCTTGGTGCATGGGACCATGCTCCAACTAACTGAGCCATCTGGCCAGGGACCTATACATTTTTAATTAACCAGAAATATTAATAAATTTTCTATTCTCCAAGCTTTAATAGTGGAGCAACTAAGAATGCAGTTTGTGGATTTTGAGTGTGTGGGGTTCAAACCAAGACTCTACTACTTATTTCCTGTGATTTTGGAAAATTTAATAAAATTCTGTGTAGCCTCCCTCACATGCAAAGGGAGGGGCAGTGATAGCACCTGCTTCACAGGTTATTGTGGGCCTCAACTACATTAATACAGTTAAAGAGCTTAGGGCAGTGCCTGCATACAGTAAGAACTCAGACATGAGCTGTTGATATTGCTATTTTTGTGCTTGAAGAAAATGTTCTGATGTTATATTGCATTTTATTCTACAAAGGGGTTAATGCCTTATGATATTAATTTCCACAATAAATAATTTTCGACTTTCAAGTGACATTAGGTAGCTTATTTATGTCTGAATGTAAAGAAATGGCTTCCTCTTGACAAAAGAATAAGTATTTCATATACATTGTTGCTCTGTTTTTCTTTTTAGAAAATATCATCTCTTGAGGTTAGAGTTTCAAAGTCTGTTTTTCAATTATAAATTATTTCTATGTGCTGTTGCAATAGCAGATAGTCCTACACAGAGAAGATTCTACCACTTAAACGTAGCATGATAACATTTTGTTTTTGAAGAGAAAAATGATGCCAACAGCTGGTTCATTTCATCTGGAGTCAGAACACATGAGTATATGTATGTTAGGCCCCAGAACAATCCTGCCTATCACATGGGCAGGCATTGCTCCATTAATAACCCTTGAACAAATAAATTCCAAGTTCAAGCTTTCTCCCCAAATAACACAGATCTCATTTCCTGAATACCTGGCGAATGAAGCTTGGTGGCTGAAGCAGCCACTCTCTTCGGAGATGAAACAGCAGGTTTATTAGCATCTTGATCTTTTTGTAGTTCTTTCTTTGTTCCTATATATAGTTTAAAAAGAGAAACAGAGAGAAAGCAAACTAGTTACAGTTGGAACAGAAACACAAGCTGTTTGTGGACAGGAAGGTTTCACAAAAACCAAATAGTCATATTTGGATGATTTGTTGCTCTCACCTCCCCCCCACGCCCCCACCGCCCCGGTCCTTCAGAAGGACACACTTGTTTACAGTAAAGGGAATTCAGTTGTAGTGGCCAGGGGAATAGGCACACAGCTGTCTCTGATTTGATGAAAAACTCCCTTATTTCTGGAGGTCATAGCACCCCAATGACCCTGACGAACTATCTGAGAATTAAAATTGTCCTGTCCTTAGCCACCAACATGACCTGCCAGCCTCTTTCTGCAGAAACAAATTTTCAGAAGGCAGAGAAGGAAGCTGTTGCTGAACTTAACTACTAATGACTTCAGCATCATCGAGGGCCGAGCCACAGGGGACGTGGCCTGCCTTTAATTAATATCCGTGCAGCTGATCCACAAAGGTGACCTAGGAAGCCTCTGGGCTCTCAGCTGCAGCTGAGCCTTCGTGGAACCAGAGCTGGCCCCAGCAGAATGGGGTGTGAGTGATACGTCAGAACAGCAAGTGACATCTAAGAACAGCTCCTCAAATTAATCCAGAGGCACATGGAGCAGTTTCTCCCTTGTGTGCTGGATACTTACCTTCACGTCACCTTCATCAGAAACTCAAAGAGCACTGGATGGAAGATTAGAGAAATGACACAGACCTGGATGGCCCTAGCCCTGCCTCCACTTCAGCACAGTTTGTTACATCATTTTAAAACAAACCTTGGTGATGGTTCCTTGAGATGCAGAGCATGAACCTCCAATTTCCCCCCAAGCCCTGTGGCCTCACTCTTCTTCCAGAGGTGACCGCTGCTGGCAATTTGCACTCCCAACCAAGAGTGTGTGAGAGCAGCTCTTTCCTCATGCCCCACTCCCTGCTGACAGTGAAGTCTCAATCATTTTAATTTTTGCCAGATACTTAGAGTCTTTTCATATTGGTCATGTGCATTTTCTTATTTGAAAATTGCCTAATTAAGCCCTTTGCCCATTTTTCTTATTTTCCAGACTTTTCACTTTTTAAAACTTATTTATAGTATCTTTCACTATACTATAGTTTTATGCAGTTTTAATGCGTTCAAATGTTAATTTTCCCTGTTCAGCTTTCAGACCAATATCATAGGTTATTTGTGCATCTGTGTGCATACAAGTGTGTGTGTGCATGTGTGTGTGTGAGAGAGAGAGAGAGAAAGGGAGAAAGAGTGGCTGGGGACAGGGATCATTTCCAGAGTTTGGGGAGGGAGGCAGGCAGGTATTTGGATCCTGCCTCCTTCTCTCTTGTTCTCGGGCCTGACTGGGCCACCACCTCTCTCAGCCCCTCTCCATCCTAGTCTACCTGCCTTCAGCTTTTCCATCACAGACCTGTATTCATCTCCTCTGTTTTACTGCCTTTGGACAAACTGTTTTACTCTTGTTGATTTTTTTTAAAGCCTGAATTCTCTTTTGTATTCCCCCATTTTTCTTTCACTGTCTATATGCTTTGTGGCATGTAGTTAACATACCCCAGGTCTTTCACACCTCAGTAAGTGGCACCACTCACTCACTGTACTCAGATCAGAAACACTAGGAATTACCTTCATCCGTTTCTTTGCTCCTTGCCCCATTCAGCCTATCAGCAAGGCTTGTTGACTCTCCTCTGAGGCTGTCCCCCAGGTCTCACCACACCCCTGCCTTGCACTGCCTCTGCAGAGCCCCTGTCACCAACACCCCTTCTGCCTTCTACAGCCTCCTTCCTGCTCGGATGCTTCCACTCCTGACCCCCCACAGCCCATCTCTCCCCCTCCCCCAGCAGGAGCTGAACTGCTTAAAATCTAAGTTAGAGCAGGTCATCCCCAATTTCGAAACCTTCCAACCACCTCCAAAGGCTCTCAAAATGAAATGCCAACTCCTTACTGCACCACAAGGCCCTGTAGACCAACACTCTCCAATAGAAATATAATATGAGCCACTTATACCATTTAAAATTTTCTAGGAACAACATTTAAAAAGTACAGTGAAATTAATTGTAATAATGTATTTTATTTAACCCAGCATATTCAATGTCACTTCAACATGGCATAGGTCACTTTTCAAGTGCTCAATAACTGCTCATGGGCAGGAAGCCACCATAGTGGACAACACAGCCCCAGATGACCTGGTCTCTTGGCTACTTCACAGATACACTGTGATAGTTAATTTGTTGTTGTTGTTAATCCTCACTGGAGGATAGCTTTTCCATTGATTTTTAGAGAGAGTGGAAGGGAGGTAGAGAGGGAGGAGAAAAGAGAGAGAGAGACATCAATTGGCAGCTTCTAGCATGTGCCCCAACAGAGGCTGGAAATTGAACCTATAATCCAAGTATGTGCCCTTGACTTGGAATCGAACCCATGACCCTTTGGTAGGTGGGCCAACACTCTAACCACTGAGCACACTGGCCATGGCTGTGATGGTTAATTTTATATGTCAATCTAACTGGGTAATGAGGTGCCCAGACATTTGGTCAAACATTATTCTGGGTATACTTGTATTCTAGGTGTTTCTAGATGAAATTAACATCTGAATTGGTAGACTGAGGAAAGCAGATTGCCCTCCTTATGTGAGTGGGCCTCATCAACCTGTTGAAGGCCTGAGTAGAACAAAAGGCTGAGAAGGAAGGAACTTTGCTTGCTTGATTGGTTGAGCTGGGACCTCAGTCTTCTTCTGCCTTCGGACTTGAGCTTACCCCATTGGCTGTCCTGGGTCCCCAGTTTGTTAACTGAAGACCTTGGGATTTCTCAGCCTCCATAATTATATATATATTTAACAAATATATAGTACATAAATTCTTTAAAGAATACATGTTTTATATATATATATAATATATATACATATAATATATATATTATATATATATATAATATATATATAATACAATATATGCAAATATATTCTATTGATTGTGTTTCTCTGAAGAGCCCTAACTAATAATACGCATGCTGACATCACTTTGTCCCCTGCTCGCACCTCCAGCCATACTGCCAGCCTTGCTGGTGCTGAAACATGCACACTTCCTCCCATTCTGGGCACTTTAGCTGGAGTCCTCTGCACAGAATATGCTTCCCGCAGCCCTGGCTAGTGTGGCTAGGTTGGCTGGAGCATCAACCCATACACAGAAAGGTCATAGGTTCGATTCCTGGTCAGGGTGCCTGCTGGCCAGGGTGTGTACAGGAGGCAACTGCTCAATGTTTCCCTCTCACATCAGTGTTTCTCTGTTTCTCTTCCTCTCCCTCTCTCTCCAAAATCAATAATAATAATAACAATAATAAAGAATATCCTTCCCCCAAACCTTAAGCATGGTTCCCTCATCCATGCATTCAGGTCACTGCACAAATGAAAACCTTCAGAGAAGCTGTGCCTGACCCTCCAGGTGAAACAGTCTTGCCACCTGCCACTCTCCCTTTCAATTGCTTTGTTCTTCTTCCCAGGGTTTGTCATTACCCGCAAGTATATTATATACTCATTTACTTGTTTATTGTCTACCCTCCCCACTAGGACACAAACTCCTACCAGTGAGCCACACCCCCTGCACTACCTGGTGGTTTAGTTGATGCCCCTGCCCCTCCCCCTCCTATTGGGCTCTTTTCAAGACAGGTCCTGGCCAGTCATCCCAGGGCTTACAGAGGCTGGAACTTGGGTGCTGGAAGCCCAGTCAGCACTGCACGCAGCTGACTGCACTCACCCTTCAGAGTACCAATCTGTACCAATGGCTAATCCTGCTCTTCCACTCCTTCCCTCTGCTGTGATTTCAGGTATCAACAAATACAAAAAGGTACCAAGGCCCCTGGAAGCTGAGAAAGGAAATGTTACAGGCCGAAAGTCTGCACTCAACACAGTACTTTAAAAGGAAACTAAATATGCATATTTAGTCAGAGTTTCAATACTTTCCTTCCCATGGGATGCAATTTGGCAACTTCTAGCAAATATTTAAATATGGATAGACTTGACTTGGCAATTCTGCTTCTACACATCTTTCTTTTGAACACTTGCACAAGTGTGAAAAGATGTATGTTCAAAGATACTTCATACACTATGATAATAACAAACAAGTGAAAACAACCAAAATGAACATTGGGCAACAGGCAAATAAATCATGTTGCATCTGTACTATGAAGTGTTATGCAGCCCTTAAAAAGAATGAGGTAGCTCCAGATTGTACTGGATGGAGAGCTTCCCATGATAAATAATAAGGTGAGTTGTTGAACAGAATGCATTTGTGTCCCATTTTTATCACACAAAATGTCATCTGTACTATGATTGTAAATATGTAAAAAGATTTGAAAGACAGGCATCAAATTTTAAATAATAGTGACTTCTGAGCAGTAGGATTGAGAGGCTTTTACTTTTTATTTTATATGCTTCTGCATTATTTCCATTTTCTATGATGAATCACACATTGCTTTTGTAATAAGAAATAAACAATAAAGGAAGAGAAACTAAACCAAAATGAAAATAATTTGTCTGGTCCATGAAAGGATAAGGAGAGAAACCAGCCTAGTGCAACCAATTCTGCAGAAATTACTATGATCAAAAATTTCACAAGCCCTCTTCCCCCAGGAACACAACCCTGCCTGGAAGATTCCTATGTGGTACTGGGAATTCTTAACAGGAAATTATAGCAATCAATCAAGGCTTTCAGTTCTTTTTGCAGTTTTCTTGTCCTTAGTCCAAATGTTTTTAAGTGTACGTATCATCAGCTTTCACTTAACTCTAAGATCATGGAGTTGCCAGAGGTGCCAGTGCAGTTTTGGTCTCATTGTTTCCCTGCTGCCCTCTGGCCACTCTCCCTCAGTCTCCTTGGCTCCAGCTCCTCCTTACCCTACACCTATGTGGCACTGTCCCAGGATTCTGCCTCGGTCTTCTCCCATCCACTCTTCTGGATGAGCTTGTCTACTCAACATGCTTGCACCA